AGCCTAGCTGCCCACATAAGTAGTCAGTCACTAAACTGAACAGCCCTCTTCATAATTCTACTAAGATTTTTTGGTAATTGGATTTTTTTGTTTTGGAGGGGGCACATATGGCCAAATGTATGCCGTACAAACTCCTACCAAGCATGCCAAATGATAAGGGGCACAAGGACTGTAGCGTTATTAATATAGATATGTATTTCTATTGCTACAGTGTTCCTTTAAGTGTACACCCCCCAAGCTGCCTCCATGGCTGAGATCATCAGTTTTGCTTATTTCAGCCAATCCAATGCTTCCCGAATTGACGAACTGCTCCAGTTAAAATCTCCTCTTAGAGATGCATTGAATCAATACATCTCTATGGGGAGCATTTTCCATACAGAGCATGGAAATGTTGAATGTAGGTCATGCAAAAGTTGCAGGACCAAACCCGGGAACACCCTCTAGAGGCTGTCACTCAAACACCAACAAGAGGTGGAATTAAAACTGCCTTTTGGGGGACGGGGCCTGAACCGCATGGTGGACGGACGTGTTGTGGGAGAGCTCCTACTACAGCTTAAACTTTCAGCCAATTTACCTCACAAACATCATGCCGTTCTGCCCTCTTTCGTGCCCCATGTATCTGTGCAGCTCAGCAGAGTCCTTCAGGGCGCTCCACAGAGGGTCTTCAGTACTATAGCGCTGAGGTACCTGGGAGGCCTTGTTCTCTCTGTGGCCAGGAGAGGTGGCCGATCTCCCTAACCATGAGTGGGTCCAAACTGCCCCATTATCCCCCCCTTTGGACCGGCTGGGGTTATCCCGGTCCCCACTGACCTGTACTCACCCAAGCTACTCCCTGCAGCTGCACACAGCTCGCCCTGATCATATTGGCGGACGTACCATACTCCTGGAGGCATACTGCCACACAGTCTGAGCAAGTGTTCCATGGAATTGTGGAGCAGTCCCTGCAGAAAATGGAAGCAATCCTCCAGCGATTTTTGGACACCCTGGCTGCGAGACATTCCACAAGCCTGACTTCTGAAGCAGTCTGTGGGGGCATAGCTGTTTCTCAAGCACCGGTTGCACCTAAGGTATGCCCACCTGGGCCAAGGGCCATCGGAGGACCAACTCCTAAGCATCAACCACGCAGGCGGAGGATCACCTGCCACCGGCAGCGTTTAACCACCAAGGTCGTCTGCCTTTCCCACAACAGGGTGGAGCCCCCGAGTCCATGGATCTACGATGCAGGCCTCAGTAACAGCCTGGAGCTGGGAGCAGGCTTTGGCTCGCCCCTCCACAATGCCTCCTAGAATACAAAAAGCGTCTACCTTTGGCATCCCACCCATGGTATTGGTTGAACTTATGATTTACTAAATTACTGTCCTTATAGCAGGGAAATAGACCTATGTGCCCCACCCTACTCGGGAGAGTTGTGGTCTAGTGGCAGTAAAGCTATCTTGTTATGTATTACAGTTTAGCATGTTGTAATTTTCTTTTCATTCTATGTTTTTGATAAATCAGCGCATGTCTGACCATACTCAGAATGTATTCTAAACCCTACTTGAAGCCTATCTGTGATGGACATCTTGAACACACATACTCCTGTTTGTGTACTTGTGCCTACACTCACGCTACACTCACCAGTTGCAGTTTTATTATGTCTAGCATTAGGACACATTTGAATACGCTGATGAAGCATCACTCAGTCTAGCCGAGGGAGGCCTAGTCTGTTTGCCTTATCCTACAATAATTACTTTAAAAAATGTGCAATGTTATCAAATGCCATATATATGTTTCTATATGTCTACTGAAATAATTGCACTAGCTGTTGTGGCATTGCAAGCCTACTTGTAACATCTATGCACAGCTAAAATAAAGATTTTTTTTTTTTTAATTTTTAACTGCCTTTTGTCGGAAAAAGCAGCCTTTACAATGATTTTTCTGCATGGACTGGGTACGTGCTCCAGAACCCCTACATTAGGCAGAAGTGGTTATGGGGACTATAGTGTCCCTTGAAGGTCAACACAACTAAACTAAAAACATTTTCCAACTTGATTTATTTTTCAGTCGTGACTATTTTGGTCTAAAAATGTTAGTTCCGTTGTCTATTCTTCCTCGCTCATAGTTTAGGGAATACATTTCACTGACTTTTCGAAACTAGAAGGACTATTTTCTTGTGTGAGTGACATTTTCCTTCTTTCGCTAAAATAATGCCAGGATATTCCAGGTTGCTTCTTTTACTCCCTGTTCTTTTTAAAAGCTAATACTATGATGTTTTGTGTATGTGTAGTAATGTGCTTGTTCTCAGTGTGATTACATTTGAACCATGAAGTTAATGTTGTTTGTTTTGTAGATGTCCTTCAACAACCTGATCTTCTTGCCCTTCGTGATAACTAACGAGCTCAGAATAATGGTCTCGTAATCGGAGCATAGCGTGAGACCTTTAGACTTGCTGATCTCATTCATTGCTTGGGCACTAATATTTACATTTTTATGATATATTTTTAGAAGCTATATACATTTGAAGCATTAATAAAGAATTATCTCACTTTCAAGTATGTTCTGGAGAGCAAGTACAATATGACACAACAAATAAAACATAAATAAAAAAAAAACAAAGAAAATTAAAAAATTGACAATGCTTGTAGATACTTTTTGAATATCATTTTTATTAAGAATGTGGGTATAGACAGAAGATATCAGACAATGAAATGCATAGAATACGATTAGATTGAGGCTTATTAGAATGTTAAATGGATGTTGATAGTCATATTGTCTTTTAGTAATAAGGAAAACGACAATGACAAAAAGAAAATAAAAAATACACCAATATTTATAAAGATATAATCAAGATAAATCCAGTCTCAGTTGTGACAATGATAGTCTGCCAATAATAAAAATTAAGAGGGCAGTAATAGAAAGCTAAAATTATTAATACCTTTATAAATTAAAGGGAGATCTGTATCAACTGAGAATAAATTGAAAAATTATACATGTGATATTAATCAATGAACAAATTAATGAAATAAATAAAAGGAAAATATGCCAGAACCTGCTGACTGTATTGGCAAAAATTCACAGGCATTGACGTGTTTTAGTAAGGAGTTGCTTGCTGTAAAAAATAAATAATAAAAAAACTACTGTAAAAAAAATCTACTGCCCTGGGCTTACTTGACCAAGACTAAAATATGAGTATATTGTTTAAAGTGACAATCTGTAGTCAGCTATTTAAAGTGTAATGCATACATCTATTAAAATATAGGCCTCAGTTTAATATTTTTGGAAAAAAATATTTTTGGATAAAGTTCTACTTAATATTTTGTTATTTAATTTTTTATATAAAAATATTTTTTATATAAGTTATACATCAAGTGTAGAGATCGGTGGCTTAAGAAATCTATATCTAGGATTTCATCCCCAATGTTCCCCTCCCCCAAGAATGCCAATGGGTGCAGTACACAATAATTGGCAAGACAGAGGATGTTTCAATCTCTGGTAAAATTGTGTATCTTCCCCTGGCACAGAGAATCATTAGTTTGGGAAATTATCAGTTAATGTGGGGTGCGTAGATTTTGCAACCCAGCTGTCTTAGTTGTTGGCAGAAAGCCTTTAGTGAATTTCTTGTAAAACCTATTATGAAACTCTATGGAGTCCATCTATGTCTTTCCTCTTTGTTAGCATTTCAAAATAGTTGGGTATAATTAGAGTTATTGCATTGTCCTAGATAATTGATGGGTGTGGATTCCCATGCAGTGCTTCATGTTAATTCACTTATCATATTTTATTCTGAATTCTTCCATAAATTATCTTCTCACCTTATTTTGCTTTGTCCTGAAACAAAAACCACGCATTGCTGTTTAAATGGGACACTGAACTGGATTGTGATGTTTAAAATACATTTAAAAGAATATGGAGAATCATACGGAAAATAAATAAATAAATAAATAAGGTTGAGTTATGGGTGTTTTTTACTGTTTTGTACAGTGATGTAATTTCCAGAAAAGTGACAGCTCATCTTTAACCAAAAAACAAACAAACATGTTTTAAGGGACACTATGGTCACCAGAACCACTGCAGCTTAATGTAGTTGTTCTGTTGTCAATAACCTGTCCCTGCAAGCTTTTCAATTAAGTGTTTAAATGAATGCCCAGTTACACCCACTCAGACGGCTACTAGAGGTGGTTCTTGGGGCAGTGCTGCATAGTGTGTAGCAGTGGCGTTCAGCGTCTGCGCGCTCTGCATGGAGGCGCTGAACGTTCCCCATAGAGATGCACTGATTCATGATGATTTCAGTCATGGAGGCAGAGCACGCCACAGCAAAACCAACGCAGCACAGAAAAAAGGTGAGTAAAAACCCTTTTCAGCTCGATCGGAGTAGGGCTGGTCACCTAAACAACCACAGCAGCACTATAGTGTCAGGACTACATGTTTGTACTCCTGACACTATAGTATTCCTTTAAAAAAGGAAATGCACAAAATAGGACTATCATTAATTCTGAAATAATGATGAGTGAATGGCGGCATGAAATATCAGTAAATGCTCCAAGAGTTTCTGGAGTATCTTAATTTATCATTAATATGTACTTTAATTAAGTTTTATTTATTGGAGTTTTAACACTATTAAAGTTATAAACTTAGTACAAACAGTAAGCCGAAGAATGCATAATTGATACTATTTAAGAATCAAAATCACAACTTAATCACAATGATGTAAAAACACTTCATGTCTACAACCCACACCGCTAGTAAGATAAGCGTAGATAAGCGTAGATAAGCGTGCCAAGTTAAATGGGGAAAAAAACACTTCTAGAATGAAAACAGTGTTTTCGCAACATGGGCTTATAATTGCTTTAAATATAGATAGAAAATACGAGGCGGCGCCTGACTTCCGGCGCGAATGGCGGCATCTTGCTAGAGCTCCGCTCCTAGCAGGCCCTGCAGAAGCACACATAAGCTGCAATTCCCACCCTACTACCGCACAAACACCCTCCACAGAACCACCTACCCTCAGTGCACCCGAGGACATGGGCGGCGGGCGCAAATCCTCAAAGGGGTCGGCGGTGGCCCCGATATTCAGATCCCGCGCACCAGAAGAGGGACGGCGGGCGGAGGAACAGAGGGAGTCTGACTCCGACTCCACAGCCAGCGACGTGAGCCACCGGAATACAACCCCCATCACGAGGGAGGACCTCCGCGGCTTACTGCAAGATTTAAAGGAGAATATGGCGGCGGAATTTGCCAAGCACCTGGCACCTCTGCGGGCGGGCCTGACAGACCTCGTGCAACGCACCAGCTCCCTAGAGGACAAGATGGCTGCCACCTCCTCCAGAGCGAACACCCACGAGCAGGCACTACAAAACCTCACAGAGCAGGTGAAAAGGCTTGAAGAAGCCCAAGAAGACCTTAACAATCGCTCCAGGCGGAATAATATAAGAATCAGGGGCTTACCTGAGACCATAGATATGGAGTCCCTCTCCTCCACCATCAGGGAGACCTTCTGCAGCCTACTCCCAGAAGCCCCCCCAGCTGAACTACTGCTAGATCGCGCCCATAGAGCACTGCGGGCCCCCATCCCCGGAATGCCAACACCGTGGGATGTGATAGTACGGCTCCATTACTACCATATTAAGGAAGCCATCATGAGAGCGGCACGAAATACACCCCTACAAATTGAGGGACACCAGGTATTGTTTTTCCAGGACCTGGCCCCGAGCACTCTGCGAAAGCGACGAGAATTGAGACCGCTCACTCAGGCACTTACACGGAGACGGATCCGGTATACATGGGGGCACCCGTTTAAACTCACAGTGCGAAGAAACAATCACACGCATACTCTTCACGACATCGCTGAAGCACGCAGTTTTGCAGAACAGCTGGGCATACCCCTTGAGGATACCAATAACGATGGGGGGCTCAACATGGCCTCCGCTTCTCCGACCCGAAGAGCCGACTCGGACCACCAACGACGCCACCCACCCACGGGAGATCCGAGCCCAGGCGCTCGGGAATAACCGACGCCAATCAGCAAATCACCTGCGCATGGCCAGCTCCACCGGATTCCGGCGCACCGACAAGACCCTCAACACCTCAAGTACCCAAGGACACTGAATCCCACACAACCAGGACTCTCAGGATCCCGACAGCCCGCCGACATGATGCACCTTCCACCATCCGACTGACAGATAAGACTCTCTTGGCCTCAATGTTTTCCTTCATCTCTCTTTGTTTGTTTTTTGTTAAGCTTTTGCTGTAAAATTGCTCGCACACACCAGCACACACTGTAGGCCCCTGCGCATGCACGAAACACATTCATAACAACCTTACCTTCTATACAACGCACCTAAACTGGAGGGGGGGCAGGAGGGGGGTACAGGGAGGTAGGGAAAGGGGAGACGACACAAAAAAATAATAAAAAAAAAGGGGGGGACGGCAACTCATAAACGAAGGAAGGGGAAAAAAAAAAAAAAATAAAAACTGTAGAGAAAAATGCACCACAAAACAAAAACGCAGGCAGACAGCCAACAGCACGACATATTTGTCTTAAGCAGCGTAATACAGGGAACTCACATGCTACCAAGGCCTGAGATCACCCACTCTGACCAGCCACCGTCTTCAAAGACTAAGGCACTATATATCACAGCGAGAAAGTACAACTGAAGCGATATGAATAGGCTAGGCAACAACTCATTAGAGGATACGCCACTACCTACTGATACCCACATATAGCACATACCTGAAGGGAATAATACTAGAGGTGGCATGGCAAAACTAGCCCGCGGCATATGACACGGCAAAACACTTTTCTCTGAGATCTAAACATTATATTCTGTTATGTGCAACGGGGGCGCACCTGTTTTGAGAATTTTAATGCTTTTAAACGGACTTGCACTAGTCATTATTCTGCTTAATGTTATTCCAACTGTGATTCCAGTGTACTACATGCGGAGACAAGACTACTCCACAGGACGCCCCACCCCTTGGTCACTAAGGGAAGACAAAGACTGACGCTAGAGAGGACGGCCCTACTATAAACCACAGCCTCCCAGAGCGACTGAGACTCCCGTAACACAGACCGACTATGGGTACAGTACTCACACACACTTTACGCCTATTGGCGACATACACCTGGGGCCTTGCTCCTCCCCCTTCGGGCCTCCCTACTCTGGTGGGGGATGGCGGGGGGGGGGGAGTGACGCCGGGGATGCTGAGAGCTGGCAAGTAACACGACCAACCTACACCCCTACAAGGAATTGCAACAACTTCAACAACAGGCCTGTAGGCAGCTCTGGCTACCTGCCACTACCCACCAATCCATCACCACACCTACCCCTTACGCATACGGAGCAGTCAGGCGGACCACTCCACCACCTACTGGCAACGAGTAAGACCAGTAGCCTGGCCCTCCAGGGCCCATACTACCAATACCTCACCCTTGCACATTACCCCCCCCTCTTTCCACTACCACCCCTCATCCTCCCTCCCACCCCATACCCCCCCCTGCCAATCCACAGTCGCGGCGCGGAGCCCCGGCCGGGCGCTCGGCCTCCAAATCATTGGACCCACCACCCGCCAACGCACCACACAGACTGCGGTTGGACCTGAACCGGGGGGCACGACCGTTATCATGCCACTATCCCTGAAATGCGTTTCTATTAACACCAAGGGCCTCAACACCCCCGCTAAGCGACATGGCCTACTACGATGGGCACATAGGCAACACATAGACATATTGCTCCTGCAAGAAACACATTTCACACCTACGAGATCGTTCCCTCTCACCAACCGATACTATAAACAAAGCTACATGGCCAACTCCCCGGACACGAAGACGAAGGGGGTAGCAATTGTACTCAAAACCACATGCCCCTTAACAGATATCAGGAGCACAAGCGACCCCCAAGGACGTTATGTGACGATAGAAGGGAAAATAGGAGCAACACCATATGCTATAAGTTCAGTATACGCTCCCACTACCCCACACAATACGTTTTGGCTGCAATACGCTACACACTTACAAGCCTACGCAGGCAAACGCCTGATAGTAGGCGGCGACTGCAACGCTACACACATGCCAGCCATCGATAGATCATCGCGGGGGACGGAAGCTCCACAACCTTCCCGAAACGATACCCACTTTGCCCATTTCCTAGCCATGCAAACACTAGTAGACATCTGGAGAGCACAACATCCATCTACCCGAGACTACACCTTCTACTCGCACCCACACGCCTCATACTCACGCATCGACTACTTCTTACTCTCCCCAAATCTGATATCGCAGATAACTCACACCTCTATAGGTTCCATATCGTGGTCAGACCACGCAGACATAACAATTATCATACGCCTACCAGACCTCAAAAGACCATGGACCTGGAAATTAAACCCACTGCTCCTCCATGACACACAAATCAGACAATCAGTCGCTCAAACCATTGAGGACTACTTCGCCACAAACGCGGAATCAGCCAAGTCCCCAATCACGCTATGGGCGGCACACAAACCAGTGATCAGAGGCATTCTCATTAGCCTAGCGTCAGCCCATAAAAAAAAGAAGACACAGCAAATTACGGAGACACTGACGGAGCTACGAAAGCTCGAAACGAGCCACAAACGCGACCCACAGCCACGTACTCTGCGCGAACTCACTGCCGCCAGAGACCTCCTCAAACGACTAATGCACATGGACACGACCAAAGCCTTGATGTGGCTCAAACAAAAATACTATGAATCAGGCAATAAAGCCGATACCATGTTAGCTCGTCGGCTTAAAAAACGCTTAGAGGCCAAAAAAATATCATCTATACGTACGAGGATGGGTTCGATCAGCGACATACCTGAGCAGATCGGGGACACGTTCCAACACTATTTCAAATCCCTATATAACCACTCACCACACCTCGGTCACGACTCCACGGCCTACCGGGAACGGCTAGACAATTACCTCCAACACATAACCCTACCTACCCTCTCCCAAGCCGCCAAACAAGCTTTAGAAGCAGAGGTGACAGTGGAAGAGATGGCATTAGCCCTCGGGGCTTGTAAACCTAATAAAAGCCCGGGCCCCGATGGGTACACTGCTCTCTACTACAAAGAGTTTAGCCCCCTACTACTCAAACACCTCTGTGCCGTATTCAACGCTACCTTGCGAGGCGAACACCTTCCACAGGACATGACGATGGCAAACATCTGCTTACTCCCCAAACCTAACAAAGACCTCACGGAACCCGAACATTATCGGCCCATCTCCCTACTAAACGTAGATCTTAAAATCATGAGCAAGATGATGGCCAACCGAATCAACCCGTACCTAGACAGATTAATACACCCAGACCAAGTGGGCTTCATTCCCAATAGGCAGGCATTAGACAATACCCGCAGAAACATAGACCTCATATGGCTCACTCATCATCGCAAACTCCCTACCACCGTGATCTCCCTAGACGCCGAAAAGGCGTTTGACCGCCTACTCTGGCCCTTCCTCTACCGCACACTGGTACATATGAACTTCCCGAGCGCCTTCATCGCGTTCCTGCAGGCAACATACCACTCCCCTCAAGGAGCCCTCCTGCTCCCCAACATCACACCACCCAGATTCCCGATATCAAATGGCACACGACAAGGGTGCCCACTATCGCCCCTCATGTTCGCCTTATCGTTAGAGCCTTTACTCCAAGCAATCCGAAACATCCCTCAGGTAGAGGGAGTAACTATCAGAGGCGAAAAATACACGGTGTCTGCTTACGCGGACGACATTCTCCTAACACTAACCAACCCGGAACAATCCATAGAAGCCCTACTAAAAACCATACACGACTACGCCTCGGTGGCAGGCTACAAGTTGAACTTGGAAAAGTCAGAAATCCTACCCATTCAGCTCACCGACCCACAACTAAACGCCCTAAAAAACAAATACCCATTTCGAATATGCCCCACAGCCATAACCTATCTGGGGATCCAGTTACCAGCAGACTTAACCACCTTATATGCAAAAAATTACACACCGTTACTCCGCATCGCACACAGCGATCTGCAAAAATGGGCGAAGCTGGGAGTTTCCTGGCTGGGACGGGTGACGTCTGTAAAGATGACGCTACTTCCCCGATTGCTATACCTCTTTCAGACGCTGCCCATCCCTCCCAACAAAGCTGACCTTAAAACTCTACAAACGGCGGTCGACAAATTTATCTGGAACGGACGTAAACCTAGAGTCAGTAGGAACACACTCTACGTCCCCAAAAAACGCGGAGGCCTCGGGTTACCACACTTCTCACACTACTATGCAGCTGCACAATTAGCCCAGATCCAGCACTGGCATGCCCCGCCACAAACCAAACGATGGGTGGACATTGAACATCACTCATTCCTTAGACCTATGGGACAGACTGCAGGATAAATTCGATTTGTCCTCATATCTCTCCCCAATGACCCCGATTTGGAGGAACAAACTCTTCCCACCAGGGCTCACTCCAGTCCACTTCGCCCAGTTCGACCAAAGAGACATTGTAAGACTCAGCCACCTATATCAGAACAACAAGGTA